GGACATATGTAATACTATCAACAATAAATGATAAATAAGTAATAAAATATCTAACTAAATCAGTAAAATAAATATTATAGGCAAAAAAAATCTAAAAAAGAATGCTGAATTAAATTTTATACTCAACATATTTTACTTAAAATTATTATAAAACAGTACCTATTATATAACATATTTCCATTTATAGCTTAGCAGTACTAAATCAAGCTCTCTCAGTAAATACTTTAAACTTAAATGACTTAGCTAATGCAGGTCTATTGAACCTTCATGTAGAAGAAGAATAATGTAGGAGATTCCTCATGTCTTCAAACCCCAGAACATGCTCCAGCCCCAAATATGAGGGTGTGGATCCTAAACTAACAGAATGCAACTTGGAGAGTCAAACCTGCTACACATGTTCTATTCGGTTTTCTGGGCTGGCTTTTAAAACTCTACAGAACATCATGAGGTGGTACTAGACTGAAAAATAATGCCTAAAACAATGAGCTTACCGGTATTTGATAAAACATGCGGTATCCTAACTCCTTCGGGTTGGTCTTAGGAACAGAGAGGACAATAGCAAACTATTCCCAGTACTGGCGGAGGACCAGCCAAGGTAGATTACAAGCAGGAATGTAAGAACATTCTGAGAACTCTTAGAAGCAGTGGCAAAACAAAGGGGTTAGCTCTGAGCTCCCAAGAAACAGCAGCCTGGCAACCACAGAAGGAAAAATGGTTGCTCTTTTTAAACAAAGACTTGGAGTCAACTGTGGATGGAAAAGGCATAAACATTGACACCCTTTTCAAATAACATCTGGAGATACAAAACAAATAAAAATACATCACATCTGCCCAGTGTGTAAAGAAGGGTCAGTTACTATGGGATTCAACCATAAAACTAAAGAGCTATATGTGGGTATTTTACTTGAAGATAAAGGAGAAACATGAACCAAAGCTACCATACAGGGACATCTACATCTCGCGTTCACAAAGTAATGCTAGTTGAACAAATTGTGACATAAGATCTGCTCATTTCCCATTTCAGCATTCTGTGGGGAAGAGAAAGAATGCTTTCAAAATACTTTCTTTAAGAAAATATCCAAAGTTTCCACATAAGAAGTGTAATACTATCATTTTGGAGGAATCTATGTTTCTTTAGAAAGTGTTCAGAATGCTTTGAAAGAAATAAGGAAATAAAATTCCCCAATGTAACACGAGTGAAAACATAAGCAAAAAATATTAAAATAGCTGCCTTTTGTTTCTTGGAATAATGTCTTCATGTCAAAATTGAGCCAAAGCACACATCTTTGACAGTAAAATGTTTTCTACTGCTTCTTCCTGAATTTAAAATATAATAATGAGGCTTCCTTTCCACCTCTACCTTCCAAACCATTCTGAAGCCATGGTACACTCCCAAACACCTGCAAACATATACACACAAGAGGGAATGAGTCTTACCAGACCATCACAGTTGTTAATGGCAACAGAGGTTCCTGGAATGTCCATGATGTCACCAACGTAAGCACAGTTAGTCTGCAAAGGCTGTGTTTTCCAGACTCTTTCAGAAGCACTTCCCGGTTGATGTTCATGAGGAGGGTCGGTCATATTCCCAGGCACCAGAGACATGTCATGCCATTCCACAAGCGCCCCGGGAGCTATGAGCTGGGTGTTGGGCTTTAGTCGCAGATGAAAGTCTCTTCCAAACGCTGTGATGTTAAAGAACAATTGCTCAGAGTTGGAAGACACGTCCCTTGTTGACCTCTTTTTGTGACTGGCAGAAAGAACATGAGAGAGATAGTGTCCTTCCAAATCTGTGCTGACTGGAGTCACCAGCTCATACTCTTTCTGTCTCTTTACCGGTGAATCTGTGGAGTGGAAAACAGAATTGTAGGACCCTGTGCAACAGAGAACACAGGAGGACATAACACAGGCATAAAGGGCCCAACTCATAAGGCTGCGCCTCAACTTGCATAAGAAGTGTATTTCTGAATCATCTCATGAGGATTACATTTTGAGAGCTCAAATCATTTCTCAAAAGCACTTAGACAACTCTGTGTTCAAAGAATATTTTATTTTTTTAAAAAGTGTATTACAAAAGTGGATATTCATATCATTTGTATATTTGAGAACATGAATGTTAAGTTTCCATAAACTATACCTGGCTTGCTTATAATCAAGACATGTTCCCAATTAATTTATTACTCCTTAACTGACACCTGCTACGAACTTTTACCAAAGTTGCTATTATGTAGAAAAAATATTTTTCTTATCTTTAATTTTTTTTTCCTATAAGAACAGAATTTATACTAGTTACAACAGATACTTTATGTTGCATCTACATGGCCTGTAATTTATACAATGTAGTACATGCAGATTTTTCCCATCATAACAACCCTAACAATCACACTTCACAGATGAGGAAACTGAGAATCAGGGGGTATGTGTCCAAGGTCAAATAACTGTGAAGCTCAGATGTGGATCCAAGTGCTACTCCAAAGCCCATATACTCAAGCTGCAGCATCATGTCATGTCCCATAAATCACAGAACATTTTCAGAAAGTGAGGAAACAGGCAAAAAAGCAGAAATAATCACCTATAAATTGAATATGTAGACACTAGTTAGTCAAGAGCAAGTGGCATTGTCATTTTGTGTTGTATTCCTTAGATGGGACAGTCATTTGAAAATGAAACTGTATTTGGGGTCCACCTGAAAACATGGGTGGCCACTTCCATGTTAAACTGAATTTCATAATTAGAACATAATTCCCCTAGCTTATCCAATGTGAGTACTGTGTCTGCAAAAATGCAAGTATCCTTGGGAAAGATAACACACTAAATGAACCATTTATCCCTTAACAGAAATTATTTTGAAGGCAGAAGACAGTGGGTACTGAAGGAAATGAGGGGGCAGCAAGGATGAAGAAAGCAAGCACGGAAAGGGAAAGCTGAGAACATGAATCAAGCAGTTCCCCACCTTCATAATTCCAGCCGAAGCCTAGGCCTGTAGTACGTGAAAGTGCCCTGAAAGAACTACACGGTTCACGAACACTGTTCGCTTATAGAAGCTGCATGTCATCCAGTAGAGTTTGAGACCCATAACTCTACTGAAAGTGTCCTTACAGAAGCACTATGTTTTCATTACTTTCTGAAAGTGTCCTTACAGAAGCACTATGTTTTCATTACTTTCCCGCTTTTTAAATACCTCAAAAGATGTGTGAAGTACCAGAAGACAAATGAAGTCCTCTTGCAACTTGGAAATTTCTTGAGTGTGTGTTTGTAATCATGATGCCACTTATCATGACCAAGGGATTTAAACAAAATCTCTCTCTTTAAAAGATGCACAAAATAACATGGTTGTAAATATTTACTAGGCAGAGAAGGAGAAAGGACTGTGCTATCACAGGGGAAAGTGAAGCCGGGCCCCAGCGCTGGGCATAACTCGGCAGCAGCGGCGGAACCCCTGCATGGCAGGTGCTCCGGGGGACAGTCAGGGACCTACCCTAGGTATTACTACACGCCCAGGAGAGGTTGGCCTCCCTACAACCAAACCTCTGGTGAATACTTTTGTAAGTTCTGGTGTAGGGAAAGAACTCAAAATTTTAGGGAATGAACTTAAGGATCACGGGAGTGGAGTGACGCAGGGGAAAGTTCCCATAGTAAAGGATGAATCGGGATCTTGAATGTGGACCGACAAAGCTTACCCCAAATTAATTCCTTGCGGAGAACTCCCCACTCACCCTGGTATTCCCAATATACTCTAATAGACGGTATTGTACTTGCCAGGGTCTCGTCAGCAGAATTTTTTTAATGCGTGTTAAGGTGGTAACGCAGGTAACTAGAGAACTTTTGCTTTGTCTAAGCTGCTCCACACTCTGACTTACTATCGAAGGCCCATTAGCATCTGGCTGCACCAATAATCCCAGTTATAATTCTTTCTCTAACCATCAGCTTACTGTTTCATAGGAAGGAGAAAGCAATGCTTAATTTTAATGTATGGATTTCCCATCTCCACTGAAGGGAATTCACACAACCAAAGTCTAGCCAATATATGATGCCTGGATTAAGTGACTGGAGAATGAGAAGCTTTAAGGAGAATGCAGGGAGGCTCCTCCACACCCAGGAGGATACCCAGAGCCTCACAGCTCGCAGTAAACCATACATTCCAGATTCTCTGGGCCAGCTCCATTTTCCCTGTCAGACAACACGTTCTGAATTTTTATTCAAAATAAAGGTGGTGTATTGCTATAGAGCTTTGCCTTCTCTAATGCTAAATAGTAAATCATTCCTAAAATGTGCTCGCAAGAAACATCTCTGAAATTAAACTCTGATTAAGTCATTTTCCAGGTGGAAATTAAGGTAATCAAGGGAAAAGATGTACTTAGTAACCTCTCAGGCTACCTTCCCCCTGGATAGCAAGTTAATGAACTGACACAGGAGCTACCCAGTCAGTTGCCATTTATTAGCAGAATAAATACTGGGTTGTGCTTTGTGCTCGAGAATATATCATGTCTAATTCTCCCAACACTCACAGTAGGTAGGTGTTACTATGCCTAGTTTATAAATGAGAAAGCAGGACTAGAAGGCCTGACACTAGCTTGCTAGAAGCCAAAGGAAAATTTCAATTCTGATCATTATGAAGCTGAAGATCATGCTCCTATGCTCTTACTCACTTCAGAATAGATGGAACATCTTACTGTCAACTTCTAATTTAAAATCTGACTTATAAAGGAAAACTGCCACAGGAATGATTATGCTCTGCCTACCCACAGCCACTCAACCAATTTTCCCTCTAGTGTAGCTTCAAAGATTTCTGTAAAAGGCTCTTAAATTCTCAGTCTTTGAGAGATTATGCAAAGAACTCAGTAAGGATTAGCTATTTAACTTAAGTGTAAGTTAGCTACTCATAAAATAATGCCCATGTGTAATTTTAATATATGAAACTATTCTATTGTCAGATGAGATGGCTGAAGGGTGACAGCAATGGGTCTGCAAAGGGTTTTGTGGCCATAAGTTTCACAATCACAGAGGGCTGGGGCCACGGTAACGCCACACTGTGCTCACCAGTTACCTAAGCATGACAGATACAGTGAATTTTCCACAATCCACCAGCTTCAGTGCAGGCGTGGTCCATCTCCCCACTGGTATGTATGTACTGTCTGCAATCTTACCTAAGAGCAAGCCCTCCAATGTATACCACATCCTGGCCCCTCTCGCACTTGCAAGAACAGTTTCAGCAATTGTCTTGTCTCTCTTTCCTTATCTGTTTCCCCACGTCACCAGGTCATTCCCACCAGCAAATAAACAAACTGCCTTATTTCCCATCTCTAACAAAAACAAAACAAAACCCTTCGTGATGCCACACTCACCTCTAGCTAATCCATTACTTTGCTCCCCTTTATAGCAAAACATTTCAAAAGACTGACTACATTAGATGCCTCCAATTCCACTCTTCCCATTCTTGTTCTTTCTGGAACTCACTCCATTCGGGCTCTTGTGTAGATCACCAGTAGCCCCACATTGCTGAAACCAATGGTCAAGACTCCGTCTTCATATTTGCCCTACAAGCAGCATTTGACCCAGTTTCTCTTTCCTTCTTGAAATACTTTATTTAGCTTCCAGTCTCTTCTGGTTCTCCTCGTTCCTCACCGGTCTCCCCTGTTCTCCTCCCTCACGTCCCCTATTCCCACGGGCTGCATACACCGCAGTGCCGCACGACCGGACCCCTCTCAGCCGCCCCCTCCAGCCTGGTGAGCTCGTGCCGTCCCATGATTTTGAATGCCTTCACAACTGTGTATCTCTCGCCCAGGCTTCATCCGAGAGCTCTTTTTCTGTCATGCAGTTGCCTACAGATCCTCTCCATGTGGATATTCACTAGGCACCTCAATTTAACATTTCCAAGAGTAAACTTCCTATCCTTCTGCATCCATATCTGTCCCTCACCTGCATCAGTAAATGGCAACTCTATCCTCCAAGTAACTCAGATCAAAAACTCGATTAAACCATCCTTAACTCTTCTCACACCACACACCAAATCTCTTCACAAATTCTATGGACTACCTTCGAAATACCTCCAGACTCTGACCACTGCTCACCACCTCCCCTGCTGCTACCCTAAGCCAAGCCACCATCGTCTCAGTTTTGAATGAACCTCATAACCATTCTTGCTTCTGCTCTTACCCTTTATCTTCAATAAAGGTTATCTCCAGTAAAGAGCTAGAGTAATTAAAGTAGCAGATCAGGTCACACTTCTCCTCCAAACCCATCCTAGAGTAGAAGAGCTCACAGCCCAGCACTGGGAATCCTCCTATCTCAAGGTCACTGTACTTACTGTTTTCTCTGCCCAGTGTCTTTCCCCCAAGACAGGTACATGGCTCACCCCTCAGTTCCTTCAGGCCTCTGCTTAAATGTCAAGTCTGTCCTGATTACCAGTAACTGCCTCATCACTCTCTATCCCCTTCGTATTTCACATTTCTTCACAAAACTTGTCGTCACTATCTCAAACAATAAGTTTAATTTGCATGTTTATTATTTTTATTGTTTCTTTATACCTCCTAGCATATAAGCTTCAGGAGGGCAGGAGTTTCTTTTAATCTGTTCCCTTCACTACAGTTCCACAGTGCCTAAAACAGACCCTGAAGTCATTCAATAAATATCTGTGAATGAATAAATGAATAAATGGGAGCAGTCTGAGCCCGAAACGGTATCTGAAATTCTAAATTGACCTACTAGAAAGCAGACACAGAGCCCCTCACTCTTACTTAGAAGCAGGCATCAGGAAATTAGCCCCCACTTTGCAATTCCTTTGGATATTCAAAGAATTATAACTATACGGATCAAAAATAAAAATGACCTTGAAAAATCATCT